TGCACACCCGGGTGTTGGATCCGAGTGTGCACCAATCATGGTCCTATGTACAATATATTCATGTGACAATGAGATTTTTTAATCTATTCGAAATATTTTTTCAAGTTATACCAAAGTTATCTTCACTTATTAACCTATTATATTTCTATGCAAATTTAAAGAGATAAATATGTATTATGCTCTAAAAAATTCCTTTGTTTACATAAAAACTATCAAGTTCACTTATTATTAATGCTGTATGAATCACGTTAGTTCATATTTAATTTTTGTTCAATTCATGATATATATTACTTTAAATTATTACGTAAAATCCCACATGGATCTCAATTATGCATTCCAAATTAATTTTAATATTAATAAATCATTAAAAAGTGTTAACAATAATAATACATATTCTACATGAAATAGTAATTTTAAAAGCATAAAAAATTATAATATTCAATATTTAAAAAATCAAGTTAGATTGTACCTTAAATGGTTAAATTAGTTCATAATTAAATAAAAGAAAATCAAATATTTCATAATAAATATAAAAATATTTGACATAAAAAAATTTAAAAACAAACAAAATAAGTTTAAGGGTGGTGTTATTGGGACAATCTTTTTGTCTCACTTTTTTACACAACTTCCACATGTTATTAAATGAGTTGATGCATTCAATATCACAGGTCTCACATAATTTAAAAGAACCAATCCTTTTAATGACATGTCAAGTTGTATAAAAAAATGGGATGAAATGGTTATCCCAATAGTATTTCCCTAAGTTTAATTATATAAAATCTCAAGTTTTAAACTTTTTTATATTGAGTTTCTCCTTATCATGTCTCTCTTAGTCTCCAGAAAGTCACAAAATTTGATTTTAAATGCTATGTTTAGAAAATCAAACCGGGCAGATGGTCGAACACATGATGCATGTCAATTTTTCAAATTAATTTGGTAGATCTAAATAATTTGTTGAATATATAAAATTTATATCATTAAATACATGTTAAAAAAATATAATTTCTTCAATTAAAACATTATAAATATTAGATCAATCTAAACATTAACATGCATGATCTATATTGATGAACTTCTAATTCAACGGTTAGTTTTGAAAAAGGCACTTTAGTAATGCTTAAGCTCACCTAAAAGACAACAAGGATAGGAAATTAGGGTAAGTAGGTAGGGTTAATATTGAGATTTTGAGATTTTGAGATTTTGAAAAGCGATAGAAGCGAGAGAGATGAGAGAGAGAGGTAGAGAGAGAGTGAGAGGGGGAAGAGATGGACACAGGTCACAAACAGGACGGACAACACTGGGTCGTGAGCATGCAGGATCTCGCGGAAGAAGCCAGAATCGGAGGTTTCAGCAAGTGGGACAGAGGCAAGTGGGTCAGAGGCAGGTGGGGGATGATCAGTTTCAATATCGAAGCAGACAAAAAGGGGGCTCGTATGATTGGGGGTTGTATAATCAAGCCACTCCTTACTTCTTCACGAATTTTCCAAAGGACTGGAGTTATGAGGAGATGTGGCGAACATTTCTGAAATATGGAAGGGTATAAGCCATCTATAGTCCTAACAAGAAAAGTAGGAATGGAAATAAGTTTGGGTTTGTGAGATTCTTGGATGTAAAGGACAAGAGGGAACTGGAAAGGAATCTGGATCAGATATGGATAAGAGGTAGGAAATTATGGGTGAATCTCCCAAGATATGAAGAAGGAAAGATTGAAAAAACGGGCAGTAGGTACCGAAAGTTTGCAGAACCAGTAATCCAAAATAGAAGTTATCCCGAGGTGGTGAAAGGCCATCCAGTGAAGAAACAAACGGAGGAAGGAAGAACACAGGTCAGAAAACAAGAAGAAAAGAGACCGGTGGAGAACATAAGCAGAGACTGCTCAAACCAACGTAGTGAAGAAGCTAGAACAATTTGGCGAGAAAAAGGAATGGGAAAAAGCTGGGTAGGCTTAGAATATAATGCCAAACCGGAAGATTATGCATGGCTAGAGGGATGCTTTGTGGGATTGGTTCATTCTGTGGAGATGGTTCACAACTTACAGGAGAAATTCTATATGGAAGGCTATTTTTCATGCCGGATTCGAGCCATGGGTGGTAGAATGGTGCTGTTAGATTGCGAGGATAAGGAAGAATTGAAGGACTTGGTGGAATTAGCTACGGACTGGTTAGGACAATGGTTCGAAGAGGTGCGACCTTGGTAACCCGAAATGGTGGCCAAGGAGAGGTTTGTATGGATTAGATGCCAAGGGGTTCCATTGAATGCTTGGAGCACTGAATTCTTCGAAAAAATGGGGTGTTCATGGGGAAAATTCATATGCTTGGATGATAGCACTAGCAAAAGAAGACGTTTTGATATAGCAAGATTCTTGATATCCACTCAGATCATGGACACAATCAAAGTTTCACGGCAAGTTAAAATCAATGGGAACCTGTACAATCTAAAATTCTCAGAGGAGGAAGTCTCTAATTGCTTCTTCTCTCTTAAACAAGATTTCTTGCCTCCTTTCCAAAGTGATGAGGAGGATTGTGAGTCTTGGTCGATCGGTACTATAATGGAGACGCAGGAATGTCACAGGGCAGAGGATGATGTTCTCTGTCATGAAAAACATACCCATGAAGAAGATGATGACGTGGCGTGGGAAGGAATAAATCAGGACCAGCCTACAAAGGAGGAGGAGAAGCTAGGGGAAGCAACAGCTGGCAACCCATCTCAATCTCAAATTCAAATTCAAATTTTGAACGGTGAAAGAAACACAGCAACGGGCAATTGTCTGGAAAAAGAGAATGAAGTCATTGAACCGGTATCTCAGGCCGGTATAGTGGATGGGATTCAAATGGGCCTCAAGAACAAACCCACAAGGAACTCTTTTAAAGATCCCAATACTCAAGAAGCAAGCCTTCAGTTTCAAGAATCCACTAACATGGGTTTGGCCCAAGTTAGAAGAGAGGAAAATTTGGCATACCCAACATTCAATAAGGATAATTATGGAAGTATGGAAATGTCAGAGGATGAAATTGAAGAAGACGGGGAGGAGGTGTTCTGGAGAGGCTTCGAAAAAGATAAGGGATAGGTGGAGGCGTGGATTAATAAGCAGATAATGGAATCAGCGAAGGGTAAAAGAAGGAAGGCTAGATCATGAAGTTCGGTGTACCGGTGCACAGAGGAGGTCGGGCGAGGCTCAAGAAGAAAGATCGATGGGAAAAAAAGGAACATGCAGAGGACAGCAGGAACAAAATCTCCAGAATTTATGCCAAATCCAGATGGGAAAGTAGCAGGGGGTTTAGTTGGTGACAGTGGTATCCTTAATTGCAACAGATCCATAAAGAATCAGTTGCAAAGCCAGGTAGCAAGGGAGATATGGGATCTTGCGAAGCAGCTAGGCGCGAATGCAGAAAATGATCTCGATGTCCTGCAGAAAATTGAGGAAATGGAGAGGAGAGACAGTCGCATGAAAGGGGAAATGGCCAATCCAGAAACCGGAGGTGCCAAGAAGGTAAGCAATGAACCTCTATGATTCTATTGTCTTATAACATTAGAGGGATGGGAGGGGATGGTAAGAAAAGACAGATAAGAGAAATTGTGATGAAGGAGAAAGTAGATTTCATAGCAATTCAAGAGACTACATTAGTGACAGTGGACAGAAAGATTTATAGAATAATATGGGGAACAGATGACTTTGACTGGGTAGCTAAGCCATCTGTGGGTAGGTCCGGAGGTCTATTATGCATTTGGAATGCTAAGGTGCTTAAGAAAAGGGAGGTAATTGAGGGGAATAACTTCATCGGGATATCTGGATTGTGGGGAGAGGAAAGGATTCCTGTGAATATACTAAGCATTTATTCCCCGTGCCAGTTGATGGGTAAAAGAATGTTATGGGATGATTTACAGGGCCTGTTGAACAGTAAAAGAGGGAAGTGGTGTTTAATGGGAGATTTCAATGCAGTGAGGGGAATAGAGGAACGAGCAGGGGAGACGGGGATCAGTAGTGAAATGCGGGAATTTGACAATTTTATAATTAATGCTGCTTTGATTGATCTGCCTTTGCTTGGTAGGAAGTATACATGGTATAACTCTAATGGCCAGTATATGAGTAGAATTGATAGGTTTTTGTTATTAGAAGATTGGGTTGCCAAATGGGGTGATGTTAAACAGTGGGGGTTGAGAAAATCAGTATCGGATCACTGCCCCATTTTACTCAAGAACAAGAAGATTGATTGGGGCCCAAAACCGTTCAAGGTTTTTTGATGCATGGTTTGATAAACCTGGATGCAAGGAGTTAATCACAAGAGTGTGGAAAACCAGTGACGTCTAGGGGCAGAAAGGCTTCATACTTAAAGAGAAATTGAAAAGTACAAAGAAAGCATTAAAAGAGTGGAGCCGGAACCTAGCTGAAGACATGGATGCCAAAGTAAAAGAAGCAGAATCAGTGATAGTTGAAATTATTGAGAAAGGAGAGAATAGCCAGCTGACTGCAGAAGATGTTGAAAGGAGGAGGGGAAGCTTTATGGTTCTATGGAAAAATCTAAGAATTAAGGAGAGGATGTGGCAGCAGAAGGCAAGGAGGATGTGGTTCAAGGAAGGGGATGCGAATACAAGTTTTTTTCATCGATGTGTCAAGGGAAGATGGAGAAGGAATGAAATTAATTGTATTCGGATCAACGGGGAACTTTACACGGGTGTGAAGGAAATAAAGGAAGAAGTGGCTAAGTATTTTAAAGAATTATTTTCAGAAGAGGCATGGCAAATACCAAAGCTTGATGGGATTAGAGTTAATCAAATTTCACAAGCCGAAAATGAGTTGCTAGTGGCAGATTTTGAGGAAAAGGAGATTAAAGAAGCAATTTGGGACTGCTGATCTTCCAAATCCCCGAGCCCGGATGGTTTCAATTTCGGATTTGTGAAGAACATGTGGGAAGACATAAAGGTGGAGGTGATTGACTTTGTGTAGGATTTATGGGAACAAGGTAGTCTTGCAAGGGGATCCAACGCATCCTTCATTGTTTTAATCCCAAAGAAAGAAAATCCACAAGGAATTGAGGACTATAGACCCATTTCACTCATCGGGATCATGTATAAGATCATCGCAAAGTTGCTAGCAAATCGGCTGCGAACTGTATTGCCTAAGGTCATTGGGGAACAACAGATGGCATTCATTGAAGGTAGACAATTAGCTGATGGAGTGGTGATTGCAAATGAAGTCATTGATGAGGCCAAGAGGAAGAGGAAAAAAATTTTTCTGTTTAAGGCCGACTTCGAAAAAGCATATGATAAAGTGTGCTGGAGCTTTATTAATTACATGATGATGAGAATGGGATTCTCGAAAAAATGGAGGAAGTGGATTCAAGAATGTCTAAGATCAAGCTCGGTGCCTGTTCTTATTAATGGAAGCCCAACAAAAGAGTTTACGGTAAGCAAAGGCATATGACAAGGAGATCTGTTATCCCCCTTCTTATTTTTGATTGTGGCAGAAGGATTGAATGGATTAGTATCAGCAGCAGTAGAAAAGAATCTTTACAAGGGTGTTATGGTGGGAAAAAGAGATACAACGGTCACACATTTACAGTTTGCGGATGATACTATCTTCTTTGGGGAGGCTTCCGATGAAAACATAAAGGTGGTCAAAGGGATTATGAGGACTTTCGAGTTGGCTTCCGGGTTAAAAATTAATTTTGCGAAAAGTCAGCTGATGGGGATGGGAGTTGAAGATAGTTAGACAGCAAGAATGGCTTATAGACTATGTTGCACACAAGGAGAATTCCCACTTAAATATCTAGGAATTCCAATTGGAGGGAATCACAGAAAAACAACAATGTGGTATCCAATGGTTCAATCTTTCAAAAAGAGACTTGCTAGCTGGAAGGGTAGACATCTATCTCTCGGGGGTCGCATCACGCTCATTAACTCCGTGTTGTCTACTCTTCCTGTGTTCCTGATGTCCGTCTACTTAATCCCAAAAGGTATTCTTCGTTCCATTGATAAAATTCACAAAAGTTTTTTATAGGGTGGGGGGGGAGATGAGAGGAAGGTTAATTGGGTCAAATGGGAGAAGATATGTAAAAAAAAAAGAGGAAGGAGGATTGGGAGTGAGGGATTTAC